CATCTGCCATGGTCCAGGCCTCAGAGGGAAAGAAGAACTGCTAGACCTGATCCCTTTCCCACTTCCATTCTCTTCTCCTTTTGTGTCATGTCTTTTTATATTGTAAGCCTAAGGGCAGGGAACTAATTAACCATTTGTAAGCCACTCTGAGAGCCTTTGCAGCTGAAGAGCGGGGTATACATACTCCAAATAAATACATAAATATGTGTGTGTGAGAGAGAGAGAGAGATCTGCACTCATTTCCTGGAAAGAATGCTTATCTTCATTCCATGTGCTCTTCTCTGTCTCTCTCTCTCTCTCACACACACACAGACAGACATGTTAGGATGAAGTCCCAGGGTTAAAATGTACAATGTGGGGAATAGCAGCATCTATGATGACACAGCATTTGGTCACTGCTGAGTCATGCTGTGTCATAGGATGTGACATCATGGGGATGGTCACCTGGTGCTGGAAAGCACACAGAACTGCTGCAAAACTTCAGAGTCACTTGGGTGAGTGACAGGTGTCCAGGAGGAAGAGGCAGGGCCAGAAAGTCATGTGGAGCTATGGCTATATAAGGCAGAAGCCTCTGGACACACATGTGGTTGGTGTGGGTGGTTGGTGTTGTCATAGTGGATTGCTGTGGATCGCGTTGGATGGTTGCTGTAAATAGCCTTGTACATAGAGGAACTAAGATTAAAGCTTCATCTGAGAGACGTTTGCTGTGGAGTCTCTTTACTCTGTCTGGAAGGGGAGAGGTGCTTCTCCAACTGACAAGCTACCTGCTGCATCTGAGAAGATCGTGATCATGGTGCTGCACATCTATGTGGATCTTCACATGCTGCATAAACACGCTAACAAGACAGACAGACATACACTTCTACTACAGTAATTGCTGGAGAAATCCTGCACTATAGAGCTTTCTCTATGCCTAAAAGGGCAAAGCTCTGGCCTCAGGAATGGCTACTTTTGGCCCAGTACTATGAATCCCAAATCACCACAGCTGAAAGACAGCTTTTAATAGGGGAGCTTACACAAGTGCACAAAGAAGACCATATTTTTGATACTGCTCCAAGGCCCAACTACTTTAAGCTGGCCTTGTTAAAGACACAAGATGAGGCCTATCAGTTGTCATGTGCAGAAGGTGTGGCTCTTTGCATAGTAGAACTTATAAATTGTTTAATAGCTAATATTGTGTGTTGGAAACCCTGATCAGTCTGAAAACAATGATGGATGGTGATATGCAGTAATACAGGTCAAGGGCCAATTTTCCTGACTGCCTTTATCAATGACCCATAAAAGGAGGACTTCATTAAATCAGGTTGATTGTTAAGTTGGCATTTGAAAAATCCTGACAGCAAATGCCTATCATGTGATGATTCAGAATTTCTTCATTCCACAAAAGGTCAGATAAACAGAGCCTCCCTGCTCTTTCAAAGGAACAGATTGCAAAGACAGAACATCTAAAATGCCTCCAAGTCACAATAAACGCTGGGTGTTCCAGTACACAATCGGGAGATGTGCAAATAACATTGAGGTCAACGCATGGTAGGAAGACTCATTTGTAAAGGTACAAAATGTAGGTACATGGTATTAAGCTAAAGATGTATCTTTCTGAATTGTACAGAGGCTAACATGGTTACATCTCTATTCACTGTAGTCTGATTTTAACCTGAATTGTTCATTTATATTGCCAATAAAGTAAAAAAAAATTATATTGCTCAGTTCCCATCCCTTCTAAAACTCTGCTGAAACTAGATGCAGTTTTATTTTGGGCTCAACAGCTGCTATGGTGCAAGGGAAATATATTTTCTTTAATATCAAACTGCAGGTGAAGTGTCGAAATTCTTTCCTTCATGGGTGAATTTTTTGTTTGTTTAACCCAAAGCAACCTGAGGAAAGAGGGTAAGCAAGGAGAAATTGCACAACCCTTCCCCTCCATCATTCTCAGGTCAAAAATCAAGATTATCCCCACCCCACACAGAGAGAGAGAGAGAGTGGTGTTAAGTGCTAATAGTAAAAGACAGGAAGCTACAACAACCTTGTACCTTTATTTTGTAAACAAACAAACATCAGTATGTTAGACAGGAGTGCTTCCAGGCAGGCAGTTTGGCACCATGTTACTGATGTAACATCAGTAGGGATCAGGATAAATTATAACCTTGGAGATCTGCCGCATACTGCACACAAATGCATACAAACCCCTACCTCCAAAAGTATGTGTGTGTTGAGATCCAGATGTGGCTGGTTTAGGGGCGCAACCATACACACACACATGGCCAACCACACTAATGTAATGTGCGTCCCAGGTTCCAGATGAGGTCTCTCAAGTTATTCAAAGTTATTTTTGTTCACTGTTGTTATCATTATTTATCAGTTTCATCATCACCACCATTTTTTGTAGTCCATGTAACCCCTAGAAGCTGCCAGTGTTGCCTATGCTTACACTAAAGAGATTAGCACACAGCTAAGAAAAGCATCTCTTAGTTGTGTGCCGAATGCAATCCTAATTAGGGCTGCATCCAGGTATTATCAGACATATTTTGCTGCTGACACCACTGGCCAGGTGCAGCCCGAGTAACTTCTGGGCAGAATCTGAGCTCAGACGGTCGATTTGCAAAGCCAGGAGCTTTCTGGTTTTGAAAAGAAGCCATCTGAGCTTGGATTCTACCTGGAAGTTACCTGGGCTGCACACAGCCAGCAGCATCAGCGGCAAAATACGTCTGAAAATACCTGGATGCAGTCCAAGTTAGGATTGAATTCAGCAGCAGTAAGACGCTTTATTTATCTGTGCACTAATCTCCTAAAGTAAGATCCTGCTGCATGCTTTAAGGAAAACCCTCACTCCTGGAAACTTCTGAGAATGGCAATTTTCCCTTTTTGTAACAAACCCATTTTTTCCATGGGGGAAGTTCTACCAGTCAGAAGAATGTGCACTATTCAGTCTTTCCTTAGCAGATTTTTGCTTTAACAAAAAAGACAGTAGAAGTAGTGGGAATCCACATTAAAGTGGGAGACATGTGCATGGCATAATGAAAGCTTCATTTGCAAGTTCCTCTAGAATTGTGTATAACACACTGCTTTGAGCTATAATGTCTCCTGTGAAAAATTCATTCCTTAATCTAAGGAGCTAGAAAGCAAAAGATTCCTGGAAAGCCTGAAAATTCAATACATGCTTTTCTGGAGAGGCTCTAATTCATACAAGAAGGTTTTCTGTGCTGTTAAAGCTAATAGTTCCCATGCAGAGATCTGTCAAATGCACAGGATCAAGGGCAGGCCGGTCACATTAGGCAGACAGGCAAGTGGCAAGAAGTCAAGCAGGTCAGGCAGCCATTAGGCCCAAAGACATGTCTTGCAACTCAGAAGGAGAACATAGCCAGTTGGAATATATTTGTCTGTAAAGCCCTTTCAATATTGTAGAGTTCTGAAACATGGCAGTTAGAATAGTCAGGTATGTATTTTGCTGCATCAAATTCTGTTTTAATAACAAGAGTTAAAATAAATGATATTTATACTGAAAAGAAATAGTGCATTAGCTAAAATAATGAGGATAGCCTATGAATGATCTATCTAGGGTTGTTGTGGTTCATACAACCATTCTGGCCCTCTAACAGAACACCCCTACTCCCCCCAAAACAGATGCTTTTTGAAAATGAATAGTAGATGTATTAGTGGTGCTATCCAGATAAGGAACCTGGTATGGGGGCAGAGGAACTTTAACCCTTTAATCTTCTCTGGTGTCTTCCTCATACATGTATAATTTCATGCTGTTCAATAGATGGACACAGGGATTGCAATTAATATAATAATAAACTAGTTTGTGCAGGCAGATATTTTATGTCTGACAGTTTTGCTATATCACAACACATAACACTGACATCATCTTATTGTCATCCTACATCCTATACAATGACATAAGTGGTTCTCCAAACAGGGCAAATGTTTGGGAGGTTGCCATATGTGTAGTTGTAGATCTTGGGGGTGGGGGTGTGCTAAAATAATCAAATGACATTTCTGTCATCCCAGGTTATTTTTTGACAATTCCCAGCACCATCTGCAACATTTTATTCACACATTTTCTTTTTAATTCCAAGAAGAATGTGATTCTTTCTCTTGTCCTATTTTCTTTTCATAATTGTTCTTAAAGTTGTAGTGGTATAGTGCAGAGAAATAGCACTTTTGCACTATAAATCTAGAGAGAGAGAGAGTTCATTGCCCTTCATGCCATATGGCCACCTTAATAAACTATTTTTAGCCTTTGGAAATGCCCTAGTGCAGTGGCAATAATTGTCTACAAGTGCCCCCCCCCCAAAAAAATAATGGAATGAATGGACACACAGGTCCAAAGCACACTCCAGAAATAATCCAGTTTGAGATTGTTCTAACTGCCCTGACTTAGTGCTAGGATTCCTGGGAATTGTAGTTTATTGTGGCACCAGAGGTCTCTGACATGGAAGGCTAAATGTCTCACAAAACTAGTTCCCAGAATTTCCTGAGCCAGGGCAGTTAAAGCAGTCTCAAACTGGATTATGTCTGAAATGTGTTTTGGACCATAGTGACCACAGCCAGGAAAACCCAAGAAGCTATGTAGCAAGAGCTCCCAAATATCCATATGGTAAGGCTGGTAAGGCACTCCACTAATTAATAGGGGTTGCAGACTGTCAAAAATAGTGTGAATTCAGTCCACTTTTAGGGTTAGGGTTAGTGCTAGGGAATCATGGGAATTGTTATTTTTCTGAGACATTGAACCTTCTTTGTCAGAGAACTCTAGTGCCACAATAAAATTCAGTTCCCATGATTCCCTAACCTTAACCCTAACCCTAAAAGTGGACTGAATTCACACTATTTTTGACAGTCTGCAACCCCCCTAAGACAAGCAACGTTGAATATTTCTGGTATTGTTTGCCTTCAAGTCATTTCCGACTTATGGAAAACCTATCACAGGGTTTTCTTGGCAAGCTCCTTCAAAGGGGGTTTGCCATTGTCATCCTCTGAGGTGGGGAGTGTGACTTGCTTTAGATCACCAAGCAGGGATTTGAACCGTGGTCTTCAGAGTCATAATCTAATGTTCAAACCACTACACCATGCTAACTCTCTACTAGTACAATAATAAAAAGCAATAAGACAACGATTTATAAAAATAAAAATGGGAGAGAGAACAACAATTTATTATCTATTTGAAACTATAATACAAATACATACTATGATGGGAGGGGCTGGGCCAAAATTTACCGGGGCCTGTTGGTCCAGAATGGACCTGATTGTGTTGCATGCTTTTGTCTTTCTCTATATTATCCAGTGGAATTAATAGTAAATAACTTTTAAATGCCAATAACCAGCTTACTTCTTGCACCAGCACAGAATCCACATTTCCTCTCTCTTTTTAAAGAACATTTAGAAGTGGTAATTATTTTGTAAAATCAGCTATTATAGTTGTGCATGCTCATCCATTGTTACCATTTCTATACAGAAATTTCTCTACCTTGTTAAATGTTTTCCTTGGAGTAAGATGTTCTTTTTCCAGAATGCAGTTCATAGCATATGGTTCTGTAATTAATGTTTAGCCACTTATGCCAAATTGGTTTGTTTCATAGATTTTTATCATATAAATGGACCATAAATGTTCTTCCAACATATGAGCAGTTTTCATTTTAGCTTAGGTACTATTCTCTTGTATATTCTTGTTTATCTTGTTTTTAAAATCTATTTGAAGAACCAAATCTGATTCAAATATAATTTCATACCTGGGGATATTTTACTTGCCAAGAAACTTTTGTAACCTTTTTAAAGGTTTTCTCACTTTTTAACATTCACAATCCTGAAAGCTGATTATCTATATGTTTATTTGGCAAATGCGACATATTATTGACGCTGCTAATGATGTCACTGCTTAAGATTTCTTAACATGCTTCCCTAAAAATCTCTGTTGTTCTATTAATTGAGATATCTTTTATCAATTGTTCTATTAATTGAGATATCTTGATGGCTTTCTAAATGAGCTCCCACAAAGTTTTGTTTTCAAAACATATTGATAGTAACATTGGTAATCTGCTTTGATCATGCTAAAATGAAGCAGTTTTAGATGGATTTGGAAAAATTAATTTTGATACAACTGTCCAACAATTCCAAATACATCTTTGGCTCCATCTGCATTGCAGAAATAATCCAGTTTGACACACTTTAACTACCATAGCTCAGTGCTATGGAATTCTGGGAACTGTAGTTTTTGTGGGCATCAGAACTCTCTGACAGAGAAGGCTCAATGTCTCACAAAACTACATTGCCCAAAATTCCATAGCATCAATCCATGGCATTTAAAGCAGTGTCAAACTGTGGATGCAGCTTTTATTGCATTTCTGAGAACTCTCACAGCATTCTCATTGTATCATTGTGTCTCTATTCTGTATTGATTGCAAGACCTTTTTTATAAATTCCCATGGAATTTCTCCTTTTTATTTGCCTTTTTATTTGCCTTTAACACAATTTTTAATGTATAATTCTTATAGACATTTAAAAAATTGAGTAAATTGTATGAAAGCACATATTTGCAAATTTACACTAATTGAGACTTTATGCAGAGAAATCCAAATTCAATGAAATTTCTGGGGGGAAATTCAAGTTGTGAAATGTTTCTGCAAGCTGCCATGTCTGACAATTTTCCATTAAGAGTGCAACGTAAGGCTCATATTTTCAGTCCATAAATCAATCAAGCTGTGCTTTTTGTATCCATACACATGCATCTTTGAATATGCAAGTTTTTTTGGATAGGGTGAAAATTTCAACCAAACTTAGAAAAAAATATCAAAATGTAGATAAGAGTTACCTCTGCTCTTGAACATCAAGTATTCTTACATTTGATAATTAAGCCTTTTAACATTTTTCTCTAAATAAACTAAAAGAGGCAGGTATTGCAGAATTCCAGCTAACTGAAATAAAGCAAGAACATTCCCAATCAATGGAAAATCCCACTAGAAACCATGATGCATGTCTTATGTTTTGGGAGGAAAAAATCTTTAAAATCTCAGTTTCTGGAGGCTGTTAAAAATTTTAGACCAATATGGAAAATAGAAAATAAATGCATTAAAAGCAGTGGGGTGGGGATGACTTTTGAAAACCCTCCTCTTGAAATTTTCAGTGCTGATTTGTGTAAATGTCTTGTATAACTTTTCCAAATCCTTCTTGATGACTTTAAAAATGTTGATCCCCCTGGAATACATGGGATTGTTAGTTAAGCAATTGTTTGGTAACCAAACTGCAACATTTATGCAACATAAAATCTAATGCAAGTTTTTCTTTAGTGTGTTGAAGCTAAACACTAAACTATCTTCTATCTTCATAATATACTGGCTGTACTTTTCCATTTGGTACTTGGGACATTATTTTAAAATTTGGGCCAGACAACTTTTTAGCAGAAGGAGTAAGGCTTTCTGCTAATACAAAGATATTTGTACTACAGGTTTTAAATATTTATTTTATGGTACAATACAGTACAACTGCAAAACTCTCATGTAGGATAAATCAATGTCATCTTTACTGACTATGAATTTATATGTCACCTTTGTTCAGAGCTGGGATGGCACAAAATAAAGTTTATTTTTCTCATGGCTTAAGAAAGCCCCTCCCAACCTGGGGCCTCCAGATATGTTAGACTAAAACTTCTGCAAGGATGATGAAATAGCTACTCACTTCTGAATGGCACTAGGTTAAGGTTATTGTTGCTATGTGCCTTCAAGTCATTTCTGACTTATGGTGACCCTAAGGCAAGCCTATCACAGAGTTTTCTAAGGCTAAAAGTGTATGTGTACCCAAAGTCACCCAGTTGATTTCCATGGCCAAGCAGGGGATCAAACCCTGGTCTCCAGGATCATAATCTAATGTTCAAAACACTACACTATGCTGGCTTAGGATAGCTGACTTAAAACCTGATCCAAATTTCCACTGAGAGTCAAAGCAGTCAGCATTCCATCTCCAATGGCAGTTAATTACAAATAACATCTGGATTTGTATCTCCTTATGAAAATACCCATCTCACTCGTTGTGAGACAAAGGCACCTTGGAGCAACACACATCTTGCCATAGATACCTGCATATTGCCAACCCTTGTTGGGATTCTTTTTGCCAAATTAAAAATAAGCACATGCAACCAAAATAAAATAATATGAACACAAATTAAAATGCATGCATTTTTTAAAAAATGTACATAAATATGCTTTAGTCAAAAAGGGGGATTTCTGAGGAAGTTAGGTACTGGGGGCATTGCTCTTCAGTGGTTCCGGTCTTACATCTCGGGCAGATTCCAGATGGTGATGTTGGGGGATAGTAGCTCTTCTAAAAGAGAGCTGATATCTGGCATCCCTCAGGGCGCCATTCTATCCCCTATGCTGTTTAACTTTACATGAAGCCACTGGGTGAAATTATCCAGGGACATGGGGCATGGTGTTATTAGTACGTTGATGACACCCAACTCTACTTCTCTATGTCTCCGACTGCTGCAGTGACTAAGGATGGCATCGCTCCTCTGGATGCCTGTCTTGAGTCGGTAATGGGATGGATGAGGGAAAACAAATTCAAGATGAATCCAGAGAAAACAGAGGTACTCGTGATAGGCACCCCAAGTCCGGGAAGGGAGCATTGCCAACTAGTCCTGGACAGGGTCACACTTCCCCTAAAGGACAAAGTACGCAGTTT